AAATCAAATAAAATTTTTAGACTTCGAAAAGCCTTTAATTAGTTTGACATAAAAAATATCAATATATGAATAACCTTTGCAAAAATTCGAAAGAATCAATAGGGTTTTATGTAATAATACCAATCAACCGCCTCAATTCTAATACTGTATGCACACGCAATAGCAGTAGCCACACCCAATTGTATGCACGTGCACGTGTAAGTTATTTTAATCTAAATATATAGCTTTTGGTTTAACATTTGTATCATAATGAGAAAAAAGTTGATTTTTTGAAAAAATTTGTATTAAAATTTAGTTGCATTTAGTATGCCACATTAAACGTTTACTAAGCCCAAGGGCACATTTTTATTATTGTATCATTAACAACGTTCGTTGTTATTTACAGCTAAAATAATGAAACATAATTATTTATGTTACTAATATTCTACATTTTAACGAAAAAGCAGTTTCTATAAGCAAAATCTGGTAGCTTGATTTTATTCAAGTGACATGCTTAATATTCTTTTTTTTTTATTTGTTAATTATGAGAAAAAAAAATTCGTTCAGAAAAATGTTAAATAAAGCAGATTTCCGAAAAATAATTAAAAAATTATTTCATTGTCTTTTTTTCATTTTTTTTTAGAATCAGGATTTTTCACCAAGTGAAGAAAATTTTGTAACGTACGACTAGAAATCAGGTAGAAGGATAACTTGAAAGTTTTTATTAATAAAAATGACTTTACATATCTTTTCATATTTCATCACAAGTATGTAATCGTTCAAAAACATTTCGAACTACGACATACCTATTTTATATTTCATTTATATGTCATTAGCAAGTGATTGTCGATGTCATTCGTCGAAATACGGTTTTTCTCTCCCGATGAACAAATTATTATAAGTTACACCAATGTGGTAGTAGTATGCTACGCTTATACAAGCAGCACACAGAGCGAAAGTTAACATCCGCTTCCACCTCCATAGTTTTTTAATACAATTTACTTTAGCATATTGGCTATTGTTCCTCCTTAGTCTTCTTTGCACACTTTGAAGTAAATTACTTACACAGCTACAAGGTATAGCATAGATAAAAACAAGTGTCATTCCGGAACACTGCACTGTTACATACCTACCGCTGTTACTCTAAGCGTCTCGTGTAAGAGCAGTATGAAAAGGAAAGGTGGGAGGGCCCGTGTCAAGGAAAAACGAGGGAGGAGGGATGCAGTATACCTGCAGTATAATGGTCTTTCTCTTTGGTACGGCGGAAAAAGGGAGAAGAAAGTATAATGACGAGTGCTACATACGTATATTGTATACCCATAGGAATTTATCTATGGTATTTACAATGCACCGGTCTGTGTATTATTTTATGGAGATACAAATAATTACTCGTTGTTTGCGTTTATGTATTTTGATTATTAAGTTCTGGTTAGTGAAAAGCAGTTTTAGTTTTTTTTTTTTTTAGTTTAATAAAATAAAGGTAGGGAGTGGATTTTTTTTCTGACTTTTTCTTTCCGTGGGAAAAGAAGAGTCTATTTAAAGGGGTTTTTGAGGCTTATATATAGGTGTAGAAAGAATTGCACTGTGCTATACCGCACTTTTGATTTTTCGAGAGAGTGAAAAAAGTTCTACCTAACTGTGCTGTAACTCGCTCGCAATGTTTCAGACGCAGAGTATTCACTCCAGTGAGTCTTACTCTTGCTTTGAAATTCAAATAAGTAGGCGTTTATTATTATTATTTTTTATTAT